GAAGAAAAAAAAAAAAAAAAAAAGAACTAAAATGCTCTGGAACCTTTTTTTTTTTTTTAACCATTTCATCGTGACTAACATATTGTAACAGTATGTGTGCCTTGTCGTCACAAATATATGTTGTAAAATATACAACAGAAGTTCCCTTGGCCGTTAAGACAATGTCACACACAACAACACGTAACTTTAGTTAAGCTGTTCAAACAATGTTACACCCCGCAACACATAACTTTAGTTACGGACTGATGTTCATCAGTTTTGTGAATAAAATTACTACACCGTTATCATAGAGCAGTAGAAGCTCGGTGTTCGTGAAACAAAGATATATCCAGCAAACTATTACATTAATCAACAGGGTCAACAGAGATTATTTTGTGCAAGCGAATAAACTTATCTTTCAGACATTATACATCAGCATAGGTGCTATGTTGGTGAAATAATGTTACAAACAGCAAACTATAACATTGTTCAAGGGCCAAGAGTGTTAATTTTATAAACATACATAAAGTAATATCTCTTATCTGGTTTACATGGTGAAATAATGTTACTATCAGGAAACGTAACAGAACAGCAATAGCAACCTCTGGCTATTGAATCTTCTTCTTCTTCTTTTTTTCTTCTTTTTCTTCTTCTTTTTCATCTTCTTTTTCTTCTGCTTCTTCTTCTTCTCCTTCTTCTCTGGCTGTAAACTCTGGCAGAACGTTTTGGTTGTTTGTCCACCTCTGGACTTTAGTCTTGTTCCAGAACCTGAGTGCTTCGTGCATATCCGTTTAACAAATATCACTTGACTGTATGCAGATAATTGGTTCCTTGCCTCTCATACAGATGTACTACGACTTCGAAGAAAACCTCAGATAAGTCGACTCTTACGACAACCTTGTTGGGGAGGCAGTGGGTCTATTCTTGTTTTCCCCACAACAAGGTCCCGGAACGTTGAATCAATGTTGAAAGAACGTAAATAATCTAAGGACCAAGAGAAATTGTTTTGTTACAGAAACTAATGTTACCTACTGTACTGTAGCAGTAACAGCTTTCTATTTGATGATATAATCTTACTGTCAGGAAACGTAGTCGGCTCTGTGGCTAAGTCGATGCGAACGCTTCGTAATGCCGGGTTCGATCATAGCTGCGGGCCATGCGCCTTGCGTTGGTTTCGACAGTGGTATCAAGACAGCCGCCCCGTCCAGGAGCAATGGCAAACTACTGGACGTAAATTTGCCAAGAAAAACCATACAACAGCCAGGGACTGTTAGGGTTGGTTCTGCAACGTCATGTAAAGGATACGCAACTAACCAGGAAACGTAAACATGACGAACGAACGAACGAACCTTATTTTTAAAGGGTCACAAATTGGACACGCAGGCCCGTCTTACATTCGGCCCTTCCAGTCAACCATCTTTCGCACAGCAGTTCTATTTTACTAATAAAGCATGTTATGATCATATGCATATTATGAATATTATAAAATAACACAAAAGCATGAATTGACAGGTAGGTAGGTAGTTGTATTCTACCAGGACCCCCCGTCAAGAGGTCCCAGAAACCCCTTTCAGCCGTTAGGCCATATCAATTTTTTTTTAAAGTAGTAAAGGTCCCTTTTCTATGTCTGTAAGCGTATAGGGCATATAGGGCTAGACCTATATTTTGTATAGACCAATCGGCACAAGATTGGTGATGTGGTCAGCATCACACCGGAGCCATATCTATGCTCCGGCTAAATTCAGGGCCCCCGACAGAAGCAAGAATGGGCCTTCAAATAAAGAAAAAATGTATGCGATTCCGATTCCTTTTGAGAGGAAAAAAAATATAAAGGTTGACCACTTTCAGACTGCTGCAAGCTAGCCGAGGCTGCTAACAGTCTCCGCCTATATTTGTGGTCTGGGTTATTTGCGTCACTTCCGTGACAAAATTCTAGTGTTTGCGCCATTTCTGGGCTTGATGCTTCCATCCGGTTCAGACCGCTTGTCCTCTTCCCTGTTGTTAGTTGCACATGTCTTAAATTGCATCCCACTTGGGACGACTTATTTTTTTTTTAAATTGACGACAGGAGAGACCTACTCAATTAGTTGCCGATCCTTTACAGGACTTTTCAGAATCAACCCCAGCATTTTTTTTTTAAACTGTAATATTTTGTTGGTACTCAAATTTTACTTCAGTAGTTTGCCATTGCTACTGCATGGTCAGCTTCCGTTACCACTGTCGAAACCCACGAAAGACAAATCGCCAGCATCTGGGATCGAACCCGGCACCGCGGCATGTCAAATCAACAAATGAAATGCGTAGTTTGGTAATGCAATGCATGAATTTATATGAGGTTATATGAGATGAGATGAGATTAAGGGAGTTGAGATGAGAGGTTATGAAATGAGCTCAGATAAAAGATTAAATAAGGATTAAATGAGTTGAGATGAGATGACAAGAAATTTAACTAGCTGAGATTGCATGAAAAGAGATTTTATGAGTTTAGATAATACGAGATGAGTTGAGTTGAAATGAGATGAGATTAGATAAGATGCGACTGAATGGCTACATATGAGATGAGATGACGTGAGATTTGATGAGAAAAGAAGAACTGAGATGAGAGGATATTAAGTGAGCTGAGATGAGATGAGTCGAAATTAAATGAGATGAGATGAGATGAGATGAAAAGAGATTATATGAGTTGAGATAAAAATGAGAGGAATCAAGATGAAATGAGATGAGTGGAGATTAAATAAGACGCGACTGAATAAGTGCAGTGGAGGTGAGATAAACTGATTTCAGAAAAAAAATGTGTGATATAATATAAAATAATTTGAGAAAATATCATCATTAAGTGCCTGGCCAGCTGGCCTCTTCTACTAGTGATCATTCCAGTTGTCACGATATTTTGAAATGCTCGTTTTCTCATTACATGACCAAATAACTTTGTTTGTCTCCTTCTCATTGTTGTATATAACGTTATAATTTCATTAGCCATTTGCAGGCATTCATTGTTGGTTATTCTGGAAGTCCAAGGTATTCTCAACATTCTTCTCAAGAACCAGATAAGATGAGATGAAATAACCCGATATTATATGGGTTTAGATGAGATCAGATGAGTTGAGAAAAGATATGTTGAGATGAGATTGGTTAAAATAAGATAAGATTAGTTGAGATGAGATAGGATGCGAACAAATTAGATCAAATGAGTTGAGATGAGACGAGAAGAGACGAATAAAAATGAGATAAGATGAAGTGTGATAAGATAAGTTAAGATAGGATACGTTTAGATGATATTAGATGAGACAAGAAGAGAATAAATTAGCGGAGATAAGATACGTTCAAATGAGTTAGGATGAGATAAATAAGTTGCGATGAAATAAGCTGAGATGAAATTTGTTGCCATGAAATTTGTTGACACGAGATTATTTTTGGTGAGATAAGAAGTGATGAGTTATGAGAAGAGATGAGATAGTATAGGGTGAGTTGATATTAATTTAAATTAGTTGAGTTGAGAGTAAATGACATTAGATGAAATGAGAAGAGATTAAATGAGTGGAGATGTGATTAAATAAGTTAGGCTGAGATAAAAACAAATTAAACATACTGAGATGAGTTGAGATATAATAAGGTGAGACAGTATCGGATGAGTCGTTGTGAGATTAGATGAGAAGAAATTAAATGAGTTGAGAGGATATTAAATAACTGGAAAGGTCACAAACATATTAAATGACTTGGGATGGGTTTTAATGAGTTGAAATAAAATGAGTAGACAATCTGTACGCCGAAAATATAATGAGAAATGTAAGAGATGATATAAACAAAGAACAATATGATGCCCTAAACATCGGTGGTCATGAAATACCAGAAATTCGTTATGCTGATGATACAGTATTACTATCAACATCACAAAGTGGTTTAGAAAACTTATTAACCTCACTCCAAAGAAATAGTGAAAATCATAACTTATTTCTTAACATAGCAAAAACAAAGATAATGCATACAAACAAAACTGCCATGGAGAAGGAAATATATGTTAATAAGGAAAGATTGGAAGTGGTGGAAAATTTCGAATATCTTGGGTCACTGGTTACCAACAATGGTGACACAATGAAAGAAATTAAACGACGACTATCAATTGCTCTTCAAAGACTAAAACAAATGAATAAATTATGGAACTGTACAGATAGAATTACAAAGGTCAGATTTTTAAGAGCATGCATCTTTCCCATTGCAACATACGCCTGTGAGACCTGGACACTTACTAAACAAGCGGAACAGAGCATAAATGCATTTGAATATAAATGTTACAGACAGGTTCTAAGAATATCTTGGGTAAAGAAAAGAACAAATGCATCCATACTTCAAGAGCTGAATATTGAAGAGAGTTGGCTAGTAAAGACAATAAAACAAAGAAAATTGAAATATTTTGGTCACTTAAAACGTCATGGAAGTCTAGAGAGAACAATAATGGAGGGGTATATGCCTGGGAAGAGAGGAAGAGGAAGGCCAAGGAGAAGATGGGTGCAGGATGTGGCAGATGATCTCCAGATGGGTGTATCAGACGCAGGACATCTTGCTCATGATAGGAAGGTTTTCCGGAGGGTTGTTATGGCAGCGAGGTTCCGCGAGGGACATGCTACTGAATGAGACAGGAGATTAGCTAAAATGAGTTGAGATGATATAAGTTGTGGTTACATTTCTTGAGACGCGATGAGATGTAATCAGCTGGGATGAAATGAGTAGAGACGAGATGAGATGAAATGAGTTAAGATTATACAAGCTGAGATGATACATTTTGAGATGTGATAAGATGAAGCGAGTTAAGATGATATAAGCTGCGATAAAAACATTCAAGGTGTGATGAGATGAAATGAGCTGAGATGTGATTAGATTAAATTTGCTGCGATGATTTCAGATTAAATGTTGAGATAAGATTTGATGAAATGAGTTGAGATGGGATTTGATTAAATGAGACGAGATGAGATGCTCTGGGATGTGTATATCACTGGTATCCTCAAGCAGAGAACCTATTTACATTAAACCGTTTGTTCAAATCGAGAATCTATATTTTCCACACTGTATATAGACATATCTTCATGGTCTGTGATTCTCCATTGACGTTTAGATTTCTTCTTTCGCCTTGTGTATTTTAATTTATCACGGCTATATATTTTCTTCTTGTTTACATGTCTATAATCCAAGGTATCACTGATATCCGTGAGTGGGTAGAGTCGTACTAATTCATCCGGAATTGTATCACAGTCGGATTCAGCACTCATTATTTCACCAAAGGGTGAATTCTCGCATGTTTTATTGCTGTATTTAAAAAGAGTATTTTGAGCTTCACAGAACGACGCTTGTTTAACTGAATCCGTATCTTTGAATTGGCTACAACAGTTGTCTATGTTGAGATCAGCAGTGAATGGAGAAGCCCAGTTGTTGGTGTCTCCATGCATGTCAAAAGGAAATGGACGAGGTAGAGAGCTTGCTTTATTTTCGTAAGCTGCTGTCTGATCATCAAGGGGTCTGCTTTGGCAGATTACAGTCCGCTGTAGGATGCATTGCTTCTCATCACATTTGACTGTATACTTGATTGACATCTTAATAGAAGCTGAATGTTTTCTGTTCATAGATCTAATGCTATTGCTACGTCTGTTATCTTTAATACACCAGTGTTGGACTTTTCGACGAGCATAGCGGCGGAAAGACGATCTTAAAATCGGATTCTTGACGCCATAAATCGCAGCATGTGTTAAAGGAGCTGCTAGGAACAGCGTAGTTGCTATGGACGCTAAAATAGCGTTAGCTTTTGCTGCAAAAATGACTTCATACAAGACAACACAGGTGTAAGGGAGGTAAGTCAAGAGGAATGAACCGATGAGCTGGAGTATCGTCCCCATGGCTTTAACACCTCTAAGAGAGCTACTTCCATGACTTGTTGGTGCCGCCGGCACTTGAATTACTTTGACCATTCTCAACATGGTAGCCGCTATACGACTGCTCTGAGTTCGGGCTATCCGGAAAATATGAGTATAACAGTAAATCACAATGCAGGATGGGATAATGAAAGACAGGCAGACGATCACGGAGATGTACCAGCGGCCTGCTGTGCTGGAAATGTTCAGGCCACATATCCCTAAAGGTGAAAATAAAAAGAACTCATTTGCTCCAAACAATGGAGGTAGTAACAGCACGACTCCACATAACCACAGTGTGGAGAAATAGGGTAGCATTGTCTTGAGGGTGGCGCCCAGTGAGTGATGCAGCGGAGATGCGATGGTCTGGTATTTGTCCCAGCTAAGGGCAGCAATGGTCCAGACAGAGACACTGGTCAGCAGACAGGAGAGATTGGCGTAAGCTTGACACATTCGTGTGCCTCCGAGCCAGCTACCCTGAAAGAGAGGGTAAATGTGTATATGTTACATAATCATCTTTACAAGAGTTTGCTCAAAGATATGATGTGTCTAACAGACAGTGCTTATTTCTGTCGGTACACAGTTTAGGCACCAATTTTAAGGCATAATTTTATTTCTCAGTGGTAACGTAATGGTCACTTTGGGGTAAGTACCGGCACAGCCTTAAACACTTTGTCTTGAGTACCGGCACTTTAAAAAAAACCAGAAAGTCCTACTATATTTCATGCACAGTCTGAGGGCACATGGGAACAACTTACAATACACGGTACATAGCATAAAGATGCATAATTTAGATTTTTATTTCTCTGTCTGTCTGTCTGTCTGTCTGTCTGTCTGTTTGTCTGTCTGTCTGTCTGTCTGTCTGTCTGTCTGTCTGTCTGTCTGTCTGTCTGTCTGTCTGTCTGTCTGTCTGTCTGTCTGTCTGTCTGTCTGTCTGTCTGTCTGTCTGTCTGTCTGTCTGTCTGTCTGTCTGTCTGTCTGTCTGTCTGTCTTCTTCCTTCAACTCTTTTTCCCTTGTCTTTTTCTTCTTCATGGCAACATTTTTAAAAAAAAACCACATTAGACAAATGCAAACAACTTATGCTTAATTGCTGATGCTGTTTTGTTTCTTCGTCGCCTGTTATTTATATATAATAAACAAAGAGACACTGCATCGATGGACACTCATAGAAAGAAGTGCAAAGATAGAAGGATACACTAGACACCATAAAAGTTAAAAGCTAGTAACCGTGTCGGGAATCGAACCTGTCAGTTCCAAACAACGAACGCGCCTCGCTGTGGAAGCAAGTGTGCAAAGTGCATGACCAGCTATGCAGAAGGTGTCTTCATAAGCCATGTCTTTTGTACAGTTTAAAATCCACAAATATTGAATACGTACAATCCGTTGAAGTGGTACCATAGGTTACATAAATTTATATTAAACAAGCAAAGATCGATAGCAAACACATTGACAATTATCAACACTTCGGACAGTAATGCTGTGTCTTAAATACAGTGAACATTTAAGAAAGAGATTTGATTAAACAGTTCAATGGTGTTACACGTAATTCACATAAACAAACAGAGAAAGAACCCTTGTGGCCGTAAAAACAATTATGTATAATCAACAAACATACAATGTGTTGATCAGCACTCATAGGAAGAAATACAAAGATAGACACACTAGAAATGTTGTTTGTAATGTCAGTGAGGTCTATGTTGGTGGAGTAACATAGACAACATCATCTATTAGTCTGGCATTTGATGATTTCAGACTGAAGAATTTATAAGCTAAATAAACTGCTTTTGATTTGTACGTACGTCATAAAACAGAATGTCTTCTGGGTACTTTCTGTGGCATAGTTGGAGGGTTGGTACCTATGTTACAAAATAGAATGTCTTATGTGTACTTTCTGTGGCATAAATGTAGGGTTGGTACTTATGTTACAAAATAGAATATCTTATGTGTACTTTCTGTGGTGTAGATGTAGGGTTGGTACCTATGTTACAGAAAAGAATGTCTTCTGGGTACTTTCTGTGGCATAGTTTGAGGATTGGTACCTTTGTTACAAAATATAATATCTTCTGGGTACTCTCTCTAAATGTTGTTGGAGTGTTGAAAGCTCTGGCATGGTGAAATATACAACACGCGATATCGACTGCATTGCGGGACAGCCCCGTCACCTTGTGTGAAAGCCGGATGGCCCGAGGTAGAACCAAGGTGGGCTGAAGGTCGACCAATCAGAAGCGAGCTAGTGTGTACAGGTGTGTTAAATGGTGGGGGGGGGGGGGGGGGTTGTTCTTTTGTTTTACCTGAAGTTTGACTTATCAGAATTGAGCTAGTTTGCATATGGGCGGTCGGTGGGAAGACCAATGTAACTATTACCACTTAAAGGGGTCTGTGTATTTTACACTAGTCTCTCTCAGGGCACTCATAATTATTCAAATGCACTCACACTCCTTCTGACCTCTGACATACTTACATACACAAATGAGTTAGCACACAACAGTACTTACATGGAACGTTATCAACACTGGGTAGATGGTGACGGAAACAGACGAGAGAAGTCCCACTCCACCAAGATGAACCAAAAGCATGTTCCTCACCGTCCTTAGCTTCCGGTTTGGAATAATGGCTACAATCATAAAAGTATTGAACCCGGCGCCCAACACGCTGACAACCACTAGACATATCGCTCTGACCACACCAAATGACCCTGGGAACCACAACGTGGCGTAAGTGCCATTAAGACCAAAAGTCAGGTTGTATTTCTTGTCGAAATCTTCAAATCTATAGCTGTTGTTTAAGGCGTCATCCATAGTTAGATTCCGTTTTAGCAATCACTAACCACGCACTTCATCCACTATGAGACATAAACTGGAACGCCAGAATGAGTTCTCTTGGGTTTATGCAAATCTCAGCTTTCAGGTCTAGTATGTGTGGCCACATTTTGTTTGACAGCTCCTCCAGTAAAGGAGAATATTGCAGGACGTGTTCTGAAGTCTGTTCAACACGAAGAAAACATCAACAGAGAGTTGTGTGGCTCATGCGTACTTTAGATAAGTGTTTGCTGTGTCTGCAGTGTCCTTTCGTTAGCTTGAGAAGTACTGACCATAACCTTCATCGTGATGTTATTTAATCTCAGAAGCATATCCAAAAAAAAAAAAAAAAAAAATAATTCAGTCGCTTTATTAAGGAACGCTACGATTATGTGGCTATGATGTCGATTCTGAACTCATCAATCGGTAAGTTCTAGATAGATGTGATATTATCACAACTGTGACTCCTTAACAGTGCCCAGGGTGCGAACTCTTTACATGTAGTGAAGTATCACCATGAGTTCTCCGCTTTGTCTATTTTATACACCTATTGCAGTCATAATTAGCATAATGAACTTAATTCAAAACACAATAATTGATGACGTCTTTCCTGAGAGAGATCTCTCTGCAAAAGTTAAAAAAATAATTTTAACGCCAAAATGACACTTTCTGCTCTTTCTGCTATTTAAAGAAAAAATACGAATGTTGTTTTTGTTTTTTTCTCCAAGCAAAATACCACAGCGCATTCAGGCTTGGCTCTGCCAATGTAAGCATGTATTGTTTGCCTGAAGACTGAGGTAGTTCTGTGTGCAAGTGGTGCGGAGTGGGGCCAGTTCACTCAGTTCAACTTGGAGTTTAACCATACAGTCTGCAAAAGATGAGAATAAATACTTGTAAACTCAAATGTAAAGTCTCAATATGTATAGGTAGAGATGATTTTTTTCTATCTATATTTCATTACTGCATTCTTTCTTTTGTTTATATTTTTAATCATTCTCTCTGCATTTCCTTCTCTCGCTCTCTTTCATTCGGTCTTTTCTTTTTCTCCCTTCTCTCTCTCTGTTTTCTATATATCTTCTTTCTTTCTTTCTTTCATTCTTTCTTTCTTTCTTTCTTTCTTTCTTTCTTTTTCTTTCTTTCTTTCTTTTCTTTCTTTCTTTCTCTTTCTTTCTTTCTTTCTTTCTTTCTTTCTTGTTTTCTTTCTTTCTTTCTTCTCATACTTTTCTTTCTTTCTTTCTTTCTTTCTTTCTTTCTTTCTTTTTCTTTCTTTCTTTCTTTCTTTCTTTTTTTTCTTTCTTTTCTTTCTTTCTTTCTTTTTCTTT